GGGGATTATTCCCGCTCTCGCTAATAGCCTAATAGCGCGGCTGTGAGCGGGCCAAGCGCGGTGTAAGCGTTTGGTTTGGGAGGGGGGTGGGGGTGGGGGGCTACTATCAATGTTCCCGATTCACGGTCCAAAACTCCATGCGTGTAGGGAACCTGCATTGCACTGACTGCGAGACTTTGCAACGCCCGCGCCCGCGCCCGCCTGCCTGCCGGAGCTGCAGCTGCAGGGAAGTCCCTCTGCCCTGGCGACGCTGCGGGAGGGAGAGAGAGAGAGGAGGGGGGGGGTGCTGCCGACGCAAAAGGCGAGGGAGAACGTCGATTTTCGTTCTGTTCTGACACGTGTCTTCCGCAGAGGACGCCTGTTCTCATGCCATAGTGTTAGTGCGAGACACCCGAAGACACCATCAACGCAGCACCGTCCGTGTGCGCCTCATCCCGTTTGCGGTTGGGCTACACTCCGCCGACGGGTGTCGGCGAGGCGTCTTGCCGCGCCGGGCAGAAGGTGGAAGGCAGTAAAACACTTTCCAAGCAATCACTGCTCGGCAGGCCGTCTTTGTCTTACAAAGGGGGGGAAAACCCGCGGGCGCCACCGCAAAAGGCGTCAGGTTTCCATTGGCGAAAACACGAGTAGGTTTCGTTGTCAAAACAAGAAGAAGTAGAGGAGGATGAGAAGGAGGGAGCATGGAGGAGGTATAGGAAGAGAAGGAGGAGGGGGAGGCGAGGCGGAAGAGGAAGGGGGCAGGGGGCAGAAGGCAGCAGGGTTCCTGCTGATGCAGTGCGACCTGAAATAAAGAAAAGCAAGTAAGTGTTACTGAGAAGGTTTGGGAGAGAAACAGAGGTGGGGGAGGAAGGAAGCAGAAAAGGGGGGGGGGGGCATTTTCTTTATGCCGGGGATCAAAGACACGACCCGATACTCTTCTACTCGGTGTCGTTGTCGTCGTCGTTGACTGACCGAATGGACGTGGAAGCGATACCTCTTCCCCTCAGGTGATTTCAATCGGATTCATTCATCAAAGACATAAACCATGACGCATGATTGATTTTCCTTATGGCAATATTAAAAATTGAATCAAAGAGTAATTTCTTTAAAAGTCCTGCTTTGCATTTGCCGTGGTCTCAAAACTGGCCAGGTTTGCCTCCTCCAATCGCCAGAACAATTTCTTGCAGTCTTCGCAATCCTTCACTCACACCTTCCAATTCAATCAGCTAACTAAGAGACTTTTTCTCACCCTGCCTGTGTCGGTGTGCCGAGCGGTGGGGAGGGAGAGAGAGACGGCGAGAGACAGTGTGTGTTGGGAAGAAGGCGTGTGTGTGTGTGTGGGAGGGGGGGGGGTGATAGAGTCATTCTCGACGCCTCGGGGCGCTGCCACGCGGCTATTTGAACGTTCTTTGCCAAAGTCTCGCAGCAGAGGTGAGGTCTCAGGGGAACATGTTGGGCAGTGGCTAATTGGGAAGATGGAGCAAAACTTGGACAAGTAGCTGGCGGGCCTTACCCGCCCCGCCTCCTCACGCCACGCCACGCCACGCCACGCGCCACGCCACGCCACGCCACGCCACGCCACGCCACGCCACGCGCCACGCCACGCCTCGCCACGCCACGCCGCGCCGCGCCACGCTACGCCTCACCGCAGCTCGGCACGGCATGCTCGAGATTAGTGATAAAGGAGGGCAGCTAAGGCGGTTACTATATTGAGATTAGCCAAGAGCACGACGTGCTGCTGAGTGGGAATTCCCTCACGCGGCACGAGAGCCGATCTCGAGGCCTGTTGTGTTCCGGGAGCCCTGGCTAACAGACAATTATTGGACACGGCTTTCGCATTGAACCAGGGGGGGGGGGGAATCCTTCTGCCCCCCTCTATGCGTCACGTTTTCTTTTCTGAAGCGAATAACACCGATTCACGAGAGCGATAATAGGGTGGGCAATCATAATGAAGTGTGATCATAATGTGGTCACATCTCAGTTGACAACACAGGGTCACCGTCCGTTTCGGTGCACGCGCCTGTGCGGGTGGGTTTGCCTACTCCCTCTGCCCACGAGGCGCCAGGTAGGCAAACCCTAAATACCTGTACACATGCATTCAGCTGCCTAAATTAACTTGTTAATTAACGAGAGATGAACACTTTAAACGCTCTAAAACCTTAGAGGACGTCCTCAAACTACGTCAAAGTTCATAGTGTCCAAGAGGAGGGAAACATTATGCACTGTGGAAAAGAACGCTGACGTGGAATGAAGCGGCACGCAGCGTTTCGAGTTTGCAAGAAGCCAAGCACAAAACAAACAAACTAGCAAAACACGATGCAGAGCGACGCTGAGGGTGTTTCGACGTCAGAGCTCTCAGGATGCTTATCTGCCGTCCTGCCCGGAGTGCCCCGGAGTGCCCCGGAGTGCCCGGCCCGATGCCCGGCCCGGTCCCGGCCGACCGCTGCGCCCAGCAGGTTCAGGGTCTCTTGCACGCAAATGCAGGCGCCGCCGCCCCCTGCTGTACCCAGGCTCGTCTCGGCGGGAGTACCGACCCCGCCGGCGCGGCCCAGACGTCTGAGACTGCGCGCGGCTGCTGCCCAGCCGAGCGTGCGTCACGCTGTCACGCTCAGCCGGCGTGTGCACAGCACGCTTGTCCAGGGATCCTCCAGAGGGCACGTCCGTTTTGGGTGCAAATTGCGCGCGGGAGGTATGGGCGCCTGCGAGACCCTGGCTGGGCCACCCCGCAGTACACGCACGCACTGCAGGCAAGATGTTGCCTACCCATCAGGCGCTCGGCTGACTGAGAGCTTGCAGGCGACACGGACGTGGCGATCCATTTAACTACCCTGCTCCTGCGGAATGCAAGCGCGGCGCCCTGCCCCGCGCACGCTTTACGCAGTGATGAATCGTCGTTTCATTCATCTTGATAAATGTCGAGAAATTTCCGCCGCTTGAGCGCGATTGTTTTTAACCTCGCGGCCGGACCATTCGTCATGGTAATCGTCGCTATGATGATCGCAGCCTTTATGACTTACTATCGAACTCGTTTTTAACACCACGGAAAACATGCCCGCTCTACAAACAAAACCCTGTTAAGCAATTAAAAGTGCGTGGAAAATGGGAAACACATAATAATGTGGGAGAACCATACATTCACTTTTCAATATAAGTCACACACTTTTTCTGCGAATGGCTGTCACTTACTTTTCTATTCATGACACCACCCCACTCTTTCGTGAGTGGCAATTTTGTCGCGCACTTTTATGTGTCCGAATGCCCCGCACTTGTATTTGTAGAAGCTGCAGTTCCCCCCAGAAGCCCGAAGTATCTCTGCCGGGGCATCACGTACAAGTTGGACGCTTTTCCAAGCACGGTGCGTCAGTAGATTCTAAATGTCCGAGGACAATTATTGTAACTAGCACCGGACTTCTGGGTGCATAACTGAGTTCAGATACAATCAAATTGTAACTAGCTAGTTACCAAATGTGTATGGTCAGTTAGTTGCAATATTCTATCTTCACATTGTATTGTAACTCATAGTTATGCACAGAGAAGTCCGGTGTCAGTAACAATAATTTTCCTTGTGCATTTAGAGTGTACCTCTCTTAAGAAAGGTACAAGACCAAATTTGTTACTGCGGAGGCAAGATTGATCACAGTTTATCGCTACTGAGTCCCTCGTCGGGCCACTGGCGCCCTTTGCGGCACACGGCGGCACGCGCGCGTCCCCCCCGCCGGCGCCGCCGCGGCGCTCTTCACCATCGTGGTGCTCTTTAGGGTCTCCCTCGGGATGTCCATTACGAATGCAACTCACACGCGGCCGTGCTCGCCGGTGCCCGCGCCGCGTCCAGCAGCAGGAGAGCTCGGTATATCAACAATAACAGAAGCAGAAGACACTGGCGCGCGCGGGGCGACCTTGCCCAGGAGCAGGAGGGGGGTGACGTCACACGGGAACTCTGATCCGAGCTCTGCGCCGAGCTCTGCTCCCACCGGGCGGGCGGGGCTCGTATAAAACCAGCGGCATGCCGTCCGGGGGCATTGAGTCCCGCGCTCGCCCTCGCTCCGGCACAACAGACACACACACGCACGCACACCCGCCGTCGCCATGGTGCCGCTCCGGACCGCCGTCGCCGTGCTCGTGCTCGCCGCCGTGGCGCGGGCCGCCCTGGTGCAGCGTGTGCGCCGGGACGACGACGACGATGAGAAGTACACGTCGAGGTTCGACAACGTCGACCTGGACACGGTGCTCAACAGCGACCGCCTGCTCACCAACTACTTCCGCTGCATCATGGACGAGGGCCCGTGCACGCCCGACGCCAAGGAGCTCAAACGTGAGTAGGCAGTAGGCTCATCAGGGGAGTAGGATTAGGCATTACAAGGTCCGATTTTTTTCCGGAAAAATAAGAAACTTTTCTAGAAAAAATGAAAAAAAACAACAAACAAACAAACAAACAAACACAAAACATTTAAAAAAAGATAAAAAAAAATCATACATTCTAAAATGTATTTTTGGTGTGTATGCCTTCACTTTGTGCCGCAAACTGCTCAAAAGCACACGAAAAGCTTGATCTGTGAGACGGATCCGCGCGTGGATGAGATTTCACGATTTACGACTATGTTTCCACCACATGTGCAACCTAACCCGCCAATTTGACGCTACGCCTCGACGGGGAAGGCAATTTAGAATTAGTAACGAGTGGGTGCGAGGACCGGCAAACAGAATAAATGTTGAACGTCAAGACATGCTTGTTCTAAAGCCCAATCTAGTTCAAGTTAACAGATGTTCGGCAGAAGTAAAATTGTGCAAGCGACGTGGTCACAGTGTGGTCACACTCCGTATCAAATTAGAGTGAACGAAACCCCGCCGGCGCGGGCAGTCAATGCGCAAATGTAACACAAGGCCGCGCGGATAAGTACGCAACGCTCGTGGTACTTTTCCTCCGCAATGTTCTGGAAGACCCGGCAGCCGTTGGGATGAGAACCTGCTTCGCGGCCTGCTCCCGGCGACGACGAGACCATCTCGTCCAGACCGACTCGTCCTAGAGTCGTTCGATGCCATTGGGCAACTCGTCCTTCCGTACGTCGTTCAATATCATTGTCCTCCAAACATGTCGTCCCCCCCGGTCGTCTGACAGGAGACGACTCGCGTTCTGCCCCCCCTCCCCTCCCCTTCTACCCCGCGGTCTCCCTCAAACGGCCGATGTTCGTAAAAGGGGGGTCCCATGGGACGCTGTGTGTGACCGCGGGTCCCCGTCCCGGACCGTCTCGGGGAACTGGTTGACCGGGCGCACGCCGAGTTGCGTCACTGATGCGCCTCACACACCTCCAGCAGCCCCTGTCACGTACGGCGCGTCCAAACTTGACATTGAGAAAAAAATACAAAAAATATAGAAAAGGTTTGTCGCGGGTGCTATCACCCGGAGACTGCAGTGACCAGCGCCACCACACCACGTGTCGTACCGTCCAGACCGTGTCGTACGAACGAGTAAAAGTAAGTCGCGTCCGAAAGTTGTTAATTGCGATAACAACTCGCCTGTTCTATACGAGTACTCCGCACGCTGCGTAGCGCCGCCGGACGCTAACAAGGGCACTTTTGAACGGCGGTCTCGCCACACCCTGGGCCGGGTTTGAGAATGAGCTTGTTATACCACCCGAGCGCGGCCCGCCGCCCTTATATATTTCGCGGAGGCGGCGCGGCGGGAAAATGATTGCGCGGCAAAGTTGAAGTCTGACGGCTGCTGCTGTTTTTGTTTGCAGGAGTGATCCCCGAGGCGCTGAGCAACAAGTGCGCCAAGTGCTCCGAGCGGCACCGCGCCGGCGCCGAGAAGGTCCTCACCTTCCTCATCAAGAACCGCGAGGCCGAGTGGACCCGCCTCGAGAAGAAGTACGACCCGAGCGGCCAGTACCGCAAGCTCTACGAGGCCGAGGCGGCCCAGCGCGGCCTGAAGATCTAAGCTGTTCCCTTCGTAGCGCAAGGGGATGAGATGTCACCACCACCACCACCACCACTACTACTACCACCATCACCACCACCAACACACCTCCGCTGCACCGAAGAGACGTCTGCGACGACCTGTGGGACGACCACAAACGGGAGAGCACCCCACCTCTACTACGCCCCTTTCTCAACAACTCACCCTCCACGACGTCACCCCTCACCGACTCTCCGCGCGCACACGGCTCTCCTCGCCAGGCTGTCTCTTCCTCTCGATTGCCCAGCCCGTCACTTCGCTCTGCCGGTGATGATGAATCGATACGAGGCGAGAGAGACGCCGAGCAGGACGCACCCGCGAGTCTCATCGTGCCATTCGCATCCGACAACGTTCCGCGAAGCAGAGGTCTCAAACACACAATTAAAACAAACACACACAAACACACACAAACACACATGCGACACGCGAAGGAGACGCGCTGATTGGAATCACAATATCAGGCTGTGATGAGGAGTTAGACGTAAATAAGACTGCGACAGGTCCGGGATGTTATTTCTGTTCACTTCACACGCCGGCCGGCGCTACACGTTCGGCAGCTGTCTGCATTGTATTGTTTTCAGACTCGAGGAGCAATCTCTATCGCCCGCTGCGCTGAACTGAATCCGTCCAGGAGATAAAAATGGAAGCAATTGTGATAAAAATAAAAGCCTGCTTCAAACCAATTTACGCACGTTTGTTCTGTCTTCCTGTTTACGCCCTAAACGCAATCACCATTTTGATACTCTTTCCCACACCTGTTTTTCAAGGACTGAGTAATTGGCTTCTTGATTAAATGTGCACCAAGAACAAGGTAAGTAGGCCCATGCCTTGAAAAGTCTTAAACTGCCTCCCCGAGCGCTGAACTCGGTTGAAATATGCACTATGGTAAAAGTACACAACCACCACCACCACAACCACCGGAAGTGTAAATCATCCTCGTACAACATGAAGAATCGGAAAGAATAGTTCAACTCCTATAAAATGTTGTGCACTACCTAAGCACTTGAAAATGTCAGGCTAGTGAGTGAGTCAAGCTTTTAATATCCCGGTGTAGTACTATGGTAGGTGTGCGCTCAGGCGGGTACCTGTACCTGCTGCCAACACGCTACGTCAGACTGGCGCGGAGTGGGGTCTTGTACAAGACTCAGAACTCAGAACTCTCCAGCATGGCCCGCGAGCAGCGTGTTGTCTTCCCGGAACAGACCTCCGTTCCTCGTTCTCCGAAGTGACTAAACAGCAGCAAGATGGCAGAGGAGGGCCGGCGTTCGTATAGGTAGGTGGACGAGTCAGAGGGGAATGGGGGGAAAAGGGGTAAGGGGGGGGGGATGCTTCAAGTTTCAGCCCCCAAAAGGAACTCTGCAATGCAGCCGCGCCAGAGGATGCAGCGGGAGGGCCCGCGGCTCCGGCCGGCTTCATATTCATGAAAAACATAGCGCGGGAGCGAGGCAGCACGGCGGAGGGGCGGAGCTGGGAGCTGGCTGTCTGCGGCGCGCCCGCGCGACTTAGGCAACCCAACGCGCAGCGGAGCAGACTCGGCTGTCGGCCGCGGCGGAGCCGGCTGAGGTGGGAGAGCGATGGGGAGTAAAATGAAGAGGGGGGGGGGCACTGTCTTACGCACTCGCTTCAAAGATCTGAATATAGTTCCTGCTACAGTATTTGATTGATGCCAGAGTTATTGGAGCCATACCGATATCTTTATCTGTCTTCTTGAGGCTGTATTGCCACCTCGCCAGCCGCAGAAGGGTCACTCGTCGGTATTACGTCCCTCTTCCGACACACTCTACCCTCCACCCCCCTCCGCCCCTGGGAGAGTGGCGCACTGAGATGTGCCCGCGGAGTGGCGTACACTCAGTAGTAGCCTGACAGAGTGCGCCAGAAACAGAGAAAGTCGGAGCCAAGAGATGGGGCGGGCGGGCGGGGAGCACCCGAGCGTCAGAAACCACATCCAGGCGAATGCCTCTCTCGAGATAAGCTGCGTCGGGCTGCGGCCCGGTCTGCCACCCCTCCCGCGGAGTCTTCAGTCCCTTCATGATCCTCACTCTTATCCTTACCTCAGCCCCACCCCCTTCCCCTCAGGCGTTGTGTTATTGTCTTCCAGTTTATTTTGAGTTATTTCTTATTTGCGTACTGTTCGTCTTTTAGCACGACCTCTTTGTGGGCTAACACGGGGAAAAGTCAGAGCCGCAGAGTCGCTGTACCACTGCGCTGGCCCGTAGAGGTAGATATCGATCTAGAGTGTCTTCATCTAGTAAAGGCATTAGTTAACCGCTCAACCCTCTCAATCCAAAAGACATCAACTGAACTTCAATGACGCAGGCGCGGTATAAGGTCCAGCTGACAGGGGGGGCGGGGGAGGGGTGCACCTTGGGTTGCCTACATACAGGGGTTTTGTGGCACAAATGGCCCAACCTTTCAGGCGGCTCAGTAGAGACGTTTGGGGAGAGGGGGGTTGACCCCCTGTCACTCCCGTAATACCGCGCCTACAATGACGTGATCTTGACAAAAATATGTCCCCGACTTTAACGACATTTTGACGAATTTACGTCAAATTGATTTTGTATTTATGACTGATTATCTCTCACTGAGCCGTCGACAAACTTTCGAAAACGGTCACGAAAATTTCAGGGTAGAAAATCAGTGAGCTTGAGAATGTTTTGTGTGCATTTGGAAGGGGTGGGAAACAAGAGAGAAGAAAGGACTTGGCCAGGGCGGCGGGAGCACGAAGCACCAACAAGCGAAAGCCTTTTACGACTGGTGCTCGCAATAATAGTGGGACGTTGCAGTTGGGGTGTGAGACAGAGAGGAAGAGGGGGCGAGTGAGAGAGAGAAAGAGGGAGAGAGAGAGAGAGAGAGAGAGAGAAAGAGAGAGAGAGAGAGAGAGGGGGGGGGGGCGTTGATTGGTGGTTGGTCGGCTTGTTGTTCCCTCCTCCTAATGCACCGGCCTCACGTCCCACCGCGGGCCCCCTAAATCACACCGCCTGGACATTACATATTTCGGCACCTCAATAACTCCGGCGGGCCCCTCGTATACACCGTGATAAATGTAACGAGCCGCAAAGAAACTTTACGACACTATCAATTTGCGAAACGATGGAGTCCGCATAGTGTGGGCGGTCCTTTGCCGTGCTGCTCGCAATGATATACACGGGGGATCAGCCGGAAGTCGGTTCACTGCTTCATTGATAAGTTTGCTGG